ATCTCCCTCATCGGGTTCGAGAGCTTCTTCTCCGACGCCATTGAGCTCGGATTCGAGTGAGAGCAACCGTCAACGAGAGGGGAGATAGGAATGAGAGGCCGAGGATGCTGATGGGGATCTTAGCTCTGACCAAGGGCTTCTGGTCTTCTCGGGATTTGAGAGAGGTCTTCATGATTAGTTTTTAGTTTTTTTTGTTTTGTTGTGAGAGAGTGTTTAGGGAGAGCGATTTCAGATTTGGGGATTTTTAAGGAGAGAGAAGAGAAAGATGAACAAGGATTAAAAGATGGGGTCTGTATTAGTGATTAAAAGATGGGGTCTGTATTAAAATACGCTTGCAAGGAGAGGAAGATCTGGAGGAGGAGGAGACGTACTCCTTGAACATCTGTTGGTCAAACTCGTATTTGACCTTCATTCACGAGAATCTTGATCAGTGGCTGTGGCACGACAGCCTCGGCAGCGAGGCTGTTGGCTCCCACTGTGGTCGCCAGCATGTTCGGGTCGAAAATCATTTTCTTCATTGTAAGACTCATTACAACTTCAGTCGTTACAATGATTCAAAAGGAAGGACTTTTTATAAGCCTCCTTACACGATGCAAATAAAAAGATTACAATTTTCTTGAGAACACATGCAGATAGATCGTTTATCGGTCTTCTGCTTACGTGGGATCTTTGCCAGTATCGGGGTTTATCCGTGGACCACCGATTGATCAGATCTGAATAACAATTTTGTTGCTAAGAAATTGAAGTGACTATCTCAGCAACAGCGAGATAATCACCGTGTCTAGCACAATGAAGTGTGAATTCTAGCATTACTAAACTTCTTAGTTAATATATCAATTATTTTAGAAGAGATTTTATCATTTTTTTTAAATCCTGATGTATCTATCGGTTTATAATTTGTATGTTCCATTTTAGAAACTAGTGATTTATTTTTTTTCAAACAATTTTAATGCTGGTATTACATCATTCATATTAATTTGTCTATAACATCTTCAATTTTGATTAATTGATCTCCTATTATTTGAAGATGTATATTTTTATAGTTGTTTTGTTTAATTATTTTACTCAATTCTTTCATATGTTCTTCGTTAGTGTCGTTAGGCTTTATAAAAGCCATTGCTTCTATTGTAGAAGGATGAACATATTTTATATAAATAGGGTCTATTGGAGGATTAGCAGATCTTATTATTCTACCTGTGGTAGTTTTTCATTGTTTATAGTGTTCTTCTATTACACCTATTTTGTTTTCTAGATCTTTAATATACCTTTTTGGAAACCAAGGAATAAAAAAATCATTTTTTTATTTTAATTTTAACTGTGAATAGTATTCATTTTTCCAGTTTAATTGTTCTTGTTTATTAAAATGTTTTACAAAACCATTTTCTAAAATTTTTATGTTGTTCTAAATATAATTCTTGATTTAGGTTGGTGATCATGTATTTCTGAAGGCTACACCCATGAAAGGAATATCAAGAGGTGGGTGGTAATAAAAGCAAACTCCGTCCGAGATACCTTGGACCATTCGAAATTTTGGAGAAGATCAGACATGTCACCTACCCGGCTAGCCCTGCCCCCAGAATTGGAGAAGATCCATAACATGTTCCATGTCTCAAACCTGAAGAAGTACGTACCAGACCCAGGACACATCATTTCGCACCAAGCCTTGCCCCTATGGGAGGATCTATCTTATGAAGAACGACCGGTTCGAGTGATAGTCTTTAAGGAGAAGCAGCTGAGAAACAAGTCCATATTGCTAGTTAAAGTGTTATGGAATAATCGAGGTGTTAAGGAGGTAACATGGGAACTAGAATCTGAGATGCGAAAAGCATATCCACATTTATTTTGAGGGTACGTAAAAAATTTCGGGGACGAAATTCCCTTAAGGGGGGAAGTAATGTAACATTCTATTTTTTTTCCTTCCGTTGATTGGATATCGTTACCGATACCGATCCATAAAGTAGTAAATTCATTCATTCATTGTGTCCCAGATAATCTTCTAGCATGAGAATTTTAACTTAGCTAATTTCCATATTATGATTTAGTTAACGAAGTTATAACATGCATACAAACTTAGCACGTAAACCTAAACCAACTATGCTTTAAACTTTAATTAGAGATAACCCATATGTTAAATACCTAATTTAAAAATCTCTAATTAACAAAATTATGTAATTTTGGCCAGCCATGTTAGTGGAAGAAATTTTCAATTTAAAGCCTCAAAAAGCTCATATTGCAAGAGATTTGTGCATGGGGAAAAATGTAGTCAAACATTCAACCTTTCACATGTCTTCTCTTCCAAGAGAAATCTATCATATCACTCTCTCTCTCTCTCACTCTATATCTGGCCAGCAACAATCCTTCTCTATTCCCTCTTTCTCATTCATTTTTTTTACCCTAAACTCCTTGCTTACCTTGAAGAAGAAGAAGGAGATCAAGAATAGTCAAGAAAAGGCCCATTGAAGCTTGGAAAGGGATGAAAAAGTGTTCTAAGGTATAAAATCTAAAGAAATTCTTTTATTCCATCAGTTAGAACTGAGTTAGATCAGAAAAAGTGTTCTAAGGTATAAAATCTAAAGAAATTCTTTTATTCCATCAGTTAGAACTGAGTTAGATCAATAATTATAGTTATATTACATCTGGGGCAAGAAATTCTTTTATTCCATCAGTTAGAACTGAGTTAGATCAATAATTATAGTTATATTACATCTGGGGCCTTGCATGTAACATTTTAGGGCTTGCATGTTAATGTTATCTTGAAACAGAAATTTCGTGCAGAAATTTTTAGCAGGATACACTATCAATAAAAAGATTATAACGTTCTTTGTATATATCCAAATGAAGAAATTATTTCTATTTTAGAAACTGCACTTTCGTGACTTTCATTTGATACCTTGTTTAATTATAAAATCATTTACTAATTTGAAAATATGGTTTAACTCAGTGCATATGTTTGAAATTGTCTGCCTGAGTTATGTCCTTTGTAAAGAGCATATATCTCAACATATACCATGCATGCATGAAATTCTTTCTGTTCTAGAACTAGAATCAATTGTCCTTCCGTTGATGTGAGTTTGAATTAATTTGAATAACGTTTGGTAAGTCTAAACCTAGTTCTAATAACTAGTATATGTACTGGTAATTCCAGTCTACCCCCTCTTGTTGTTTTGCATGTAACATGCATTATAAAAAGGAAAATTTAATGAAACTAATGGGACTTGGAATCTAATCCATTATATCAATTATATGCAAAATTTGAGCTCATTTTCATTGTGTTAAGTACCCGAAATAAATCATTCATTCCAGATAGTAATCTCTGTTTTTCTGCTGTAGTTTTGATAAATGTAGTTTACTAAGAGCATAACACTTACTATACACCATGCATTGACGTAATATTTTTATATTATAAAATTAGACTCATAATGGAGTCATTTGGAACTAGTTTCATGAATTTTGGATATCAATTGTTATACCATCCATTCACCTAAATCTGCTGTATGTACACTACTGGTGCTGCTGTGCATGTTAGAGATATTGGATGTAATCATCTAGAGTGTAGCTTATACCATGTACACTACTGGTGCTGCTGTGCATGTTAGAGATATTGGATGTAATCATCTAGAGTGTAGCTTATACCATAATATAAGTTTTAATGTTAGAGATATTGGATGTAATCATCTAGAGTGTAGCTTATACCATAATATAAGTTTTAAGTTAGAAAACTATAAAGACATAGTGTTTAGAATCTCATGTGGGTATACATGTATATAGGACAGAGAATCTTGGATTCATTCTTTGGCCGAGAGGATCCCGACATAATCGGTAGGTAACCTTTCATTATTTCCTCTTAAGCCTTTGAGACTTCGATTGATTACTTTCTTAAAATTCTTGTGAGTTAGTTTCCCATGCTAATTTGTATATCTTATCACTTCCGTAATATTCCTATTTGATTCACTTCATGAATTGGCTCTTTGTGATTTCTTAGCCATTGTTATCCTAATGTTGTTTATATCAGTTTTATATCTTTGATATCCTCAAAATATTATATTGCAACATTTCGACTTGCTTTGATAATTCGACTATTGGTAATGATAATATTCCATTCTTTGTTGATAATTGATATATTCATGGATTATGCCTTGTGTGAAGGAAGCTCACCGGTGGGTGTATAAAGGCATGTGCAGTTTATTGATTATCCCATGATTGGGGGGGGGGGGGGGAATCCTGAATATTAGACCTTAATTATTTATCTTTACATGTTATTTCATTTCGGTCAATGATAACGAGATAAGAATGGTAACTTAATGTTGAGATCCCTTTGTTCAAGTTTGATATCTATGTCTATCATTTTCATTCGTTCCCTTGTGTTGTACCCGAGATTTTTATGGTTACGTATTGGGCCTTAGGCTCACCCCTATTGTTTCTGAATCCACTCGCAAGTCATACTACTGGCAAGGATAAGGGGATTGCAGACCATGAAGTTAAAGATTAGCTCCGAAGGAAACTCTTAGTTGGAGTTAATTTATGTTCACTTTTGTAGTATTTTTGACTTATAAAACATGTACTAACGTTGTAGCCACTACTATTATTGTAATATTTTTATAGTTCCCTTTAGTGTTCTTCTATTTTGGTATTCTATGGACTCTACTGTCAACCTCGTGATCCTGAGTATTGCATATACATCTCCACTGCCATATTTTTTGCCCTTTAGTATATCTATATTATGATGTGCATAAAGATTTAGCAGGTTGACCATTCTTATTCAGATAGGTCATGCCTAAAATTTTATGTACCTTCCTGAGGGGCATTACAAAGTGGTATCAGAGCATTGGTTGACACCTTAAGAGTCCTACATAAAATACCAAGGGGACTTAGGGACGATTCGAGTCGGTGTCAAACACCAGTCATGGAAAGATTATCTTTTCCTGACATTCTTGTAATATCTAGACTTCTATTAGATTGGTTTTGTACCCTTGGATGATGATAGATAACTTTTGGCAGGAATGACAGATTCCGATTCGAATGTTTCTGGGATGGAAGGATCCATTAGCAGCGAGGATGTGTGGTCAACACATTCAAATGATTGGGAGATCAACTCTGAGGAGACTGATCTAGAGGAGACATTTAGGGAGAGAGTGGATTACTCTCCGATTGGCCATCACACCCGTAGGCAATTGGCGAAGAGTGGCGAGCTTGAGAATGAGGACTCCAAAGAGGAGGACCCTGAAGAGGAGGACCCCGAAGAGAAGGACCTTGAGGAGGAGGAACCCATGGAGGAGGATCCCGAGGAGGAGGATCCCGAGGAGGAGGACCCCGAGGAGGACCCTATAGAGGAGGATCCCGAGGAGGAGGAGCCGGAGGAGAACCCTATAGAGGATGAGGATCCAGAGGAGGAGCCCATGGAGTGTGAATTTGAGGTTATGCAGGAGCCTCTACTTGGTGGGATACTAGAGGGAATTCCACTTGGATGGGAGCTTGACTTGGATGAGGAGGATTGGGCATGGGAGGATGAGCCGAAGGTAGAGGATCCTATTAAGGACGATGAGCAGGAGGAGATCAGCCTAGATGGTTATGAACCCCAGCCAATTGAGGACTATGATACGGAGTCTACTTCTAGCAGCTCTTCCACCTCTTCCTAGAGGTTGACCCATTGGGTCACTAACCTTAGGAATCTTATTACTTTTGGCTTTTGGGTGGACACCCAAGTGTGGTGTATTTTGGGATTGCATACTTTCATCTATATCTTAGATATGGGTCAAGTCAGCAGTCTGCCCCATATGTGGAAATCATCACTCCGGATATTGCAGACTTCACCGTGGATGTTACGAGTGTGGTCAACCTAGGCATTTCAAGAAAGATTGTCCAACCTTGAGGAATCAATTGATAACGGAGCGAGCACCAGGAGGAAATCGTACAATTCGAGCTAATGCCTCACAACAATCAAGTGCTCCCCAGCGGAAGGCTCAGTCTAACGAGAGTGTGCAACAAAACCAGATGAACTAAGGAAAAGTTTTTGCTCTGACAAGGAAGGATGCACAAGCATCTCCATCTATGGTGGAAGGTACTCTTCCCATATGCTCATTCACCGCTCATGCACTTTTCGACCTTGGATCTACAAACTCTTTTATATCCCCTCACTTTGCTAGGAACTTTCCCAATTCACCGACACTATTAAGTAGTGAGATAATTGTCTCCACACCTATGGGTGGTAGTCTCCTAGCGTCATATGTTTATGAGAATTGTGGAGTTTTAGTGAGTGATCATGTCATGAATGCAGACCTTATATGCCTAGACATGTCAGATTTTGATGTTATCTTAGGAATGGATTGGTTAGCATCTCATCATGCTACTTTAGACTATTTGATAAAATTGGTAAAATTTAAACCACAAGCGGAGGTGAGTTTTGTTTTTCAAGGGGAAAGTAGAAGACCCCTCACACACTTAATCTCATTTATGAAGGCTAACAAATTGTTGAGGCAAGGTTGTAGTGGATATTTAGCTTGTGTGATAAGTGACCAATTGAATGAGAAAAAGCTTTCAGATATACTTGTTGAAAGAGATTACCCGGATGTCTTTCCTGAAGATTTGCCAGGTTTGCTTCCAGATCGGGAGATAGAGTTTGCCATAGACTTGGTCCCAAGGACCACTCTTATATCTATAGCCCCTTATAGATTGGCACCAGTTGAGATGAAGGAACTGAAGGAACAACTTCAAGAGTTATTGGATAAAGGATTCATTAGACCAAGCATGTCTCCATGTGGAGCACTGGTTTTATTTGTGAAAAAAAAAAGATGGGAGTATGAGACTTTGTATAGATTACAGAGAGTTGAATAAATTGGCCATTAAGAATAAGTATCTACTCCCAAGGATAGATGATCTATTTGATCAGCTTCAAGGAGCTCAATATTTTTTCAAGATTGATTTAAGGTCAGGATACCATCAGTTAAAGATTAAGCCTGAGGACGTAGCAAAGACAGCATTCAGGACTCGCTACAGTCACTATGAATTTTTAGTGATTCCTTTTGGACTCACTAATGTGCCGGCCGCATTCATAGATTTGATGAACCAGATATTCAAATAATATTTAGATCAATTTGTGATGGTTTTCATTGATGACATCCGGGTAATCTCTTTCAACAAGTATATCTGAAAGCTTTTTCTCATTCAATTAGTCACTTATCACACAAGCTAAATATCCACTGCAACCTTGCCTCAACAATTTGTTAGCCTTCATAAATGAGATTAAGTGTGTGAGGGTTCTTCTACTTTCTCCTTGAAAAACAAAACTCACCTCCGCTTGTGGTTTAAATTTTACCAATTTTCTCAAATAGTCTAAAGTAGCATGATGAGATGCTAACCAATCCATTCCTAAGATAACATCAAAATCTGACATTCAAATAGTCTAAAGTAGCATGATGAGATGCTAACCAATCCATTCCTAAGATAACATCAAAATCTGACATGTCTAGGCATATAGATGAGATGCTAACCAATCCATTCCTAAGATAACATCAAAATCTGACATGTCTAGGCATATAAGGTTTGCATTCATGACATGATCACTCTTTTGGGCCATGTGATCACTAGAGATGGGATATCCGTGGATTCAGCGAAGGTTGAAGCTGTCATGAACTGGCCGCGTCCCACCTCAGTGACTGATAGTCGTAGCTTTTTGGGACTAGCAGGATATTATAGAAGATTTGTCAAGGACTTTCCCTAATTAGCAGCCCATTTAACTTATCTGACTCGTAAGAATGTCAAATATATATGGAGTGAGAAATGCAAAGAATATTTTTAGGAGTTGAAGAAACAGTTGGTAACCGCTCCTATCCTCACTATCCCTACGAGTTCAGATAAGTTTGTGATATATAGTGATGCATCTTCTAGAGGTTTAGGTTGTGTTCTGATGCAGAATGAGAAAGTGTTGGCTTATGCCTCTAGGCAATTGAGGCCTCATGAGAAGAACTACCCCACTCATGAATTGGAATTGACTGCCACAATTTTTGCCCTGAAGATATAGAGACACTATCTATATGGGTTATCATGTGATATTTATACAGATCACAAGAGCCTAAAGTATATATTTACTCAGAAGGAGATTAACATGCGACAAAGAAGATGGTTGGAAATGCTGAAAGACTATGATGTAAATATCCTTTACCATCCAGGTAAAGCTAATGTAGTAGCAGATGCACTCAGTCGGAAGAATCATATTGCATCAGCTTGTTTGCTCACTAATCAAGCTGAGTTAAGTAGGGAGCTTGAGAGAATGGAGATTGAAGTTAGAAAGTATTCTTCTGAAATGAAGATTTGTCAGATAAGCCTACAACCTACTCTGTTGGACCAAATCAAGGAGCGACAGAAGGAAGACAATGAGCTAAGTGAGATAAGGAAGAAGGTGGAACAAGGAACATATTCAGACTTTCAGATTCACGATGGTGTTTTGAAGATGGGTAATTGCCTTTGTGTACCTAATGATGGGGAGATTAAGGATCAGATATTGAGAGAAGCACACCAGACCCTACATGCTCTTCGTCCGGGTAGCACCAAGATGTATCAAAACCTTCGACAAAACTTCTGGTGGAACCGCATGAAGGAGGATATAGTTGATTTCGTGTCAAAGTGTTTGACATGACAACAGGTGAAGATTGAACATCAAAAACCATCAGGACTATTACAACATTTGCCCATCCCAGAATGGAAATGGGATCACATCATCATGGATTTTGTTACTGGACTACCCTGATCAACAAAAGGAGAGGATGCCATATGGGTGGTAGTTGACCACCTGACCAAGTCAGCATACTTCATACACTACAAGATGTCATATAACATGGAAAAGTTGACCAGCTTATATATTGAAGAGATCGTGAAGCTTCACGGGATTCCCATATCCATCGTATCATATCGAGACCCCCGTTTCACCTTAAGATTTTGGAAGAATCTACATCGATCTTTAAGGACTGGACTAAAGTTCAACACCTCAGCACATCCTTAGACTGATGGACAATCCGAGAGAACGATACAGACTCTGGAGAACATGCTGAGAGCTTGCAACTTAGATTTTGGAGGCAATTGGGCTACGCACTTGCCGCTAGTAGAGTTCGCCTACAACAATATCTTTCATTCTAGCATTGGCATGACACCTTATGAAGCCCTATATGGGAGGTGATGAAGATTCCCTATCTGTTGGGAAGAGACCGGTGATCGTCGATTACTCGGATCTGACGTAATATAAGAAACGACTGAGAAAATCAAAACCATTCGATAACATATGCAAACGACACAAATAGGCAAAAGAGCTATGCAGATCGAGGACGAAAGGACCTAGACAGGTTGGTGATCATGCGTTTCTGAAGGCTACACCCATGAAAGGAATATCAAGAGGTGGTAAGAAAATCAAACTCCATCCGAAATACCTTGGGCCATTCAAAATTTTAGAGAAGATCGGACATGTCGCCTACCGGCTATCCCTGCCCCCAGAATTGGAGAAGATCCATAACATGTTCCATGTCTCAAAACTAAAGAAGTATGTACCAGACCCAGGACACATCATTTCACACCAAGCTTTGCCCCTACGGAAGGATCTATCTTATGAAGAACGACCGGTCCGAGTGCTATGCTTTAAGGAGAAGCAGCTGAGAAACAATTCCATATTGCTAGTTAAAGTGTTATGGAATAATCGAGGTGTTAAGGAGGCAACATGGGAACTAGAATCTGGGATGCAAAATATATATCCATATTTATTTTGAGGGTACATAAAAAAATTTCGGGGACAAAATTCCCTTAAGGGGGGAAGTAATGTAACATTCCATTTTTTTCCTTCCGTTGATCGGATACCGTTACCGATACCGATCCATAAATTAGTAAATTCTTTCTTTCATTGTGTCCCAGATAATCTTCTAGCATGAGAATTTTAACTTCACTAATTTTTATATTATGATTTAGTTAACGAAGTTATAGCATGCATACAAACTTAGCATGTAACCTAAACCAACTATGCTTTAAACTTTAATTAGAGATAACCCACATGCTAAATACCTAATTTAAAATTCTCTAATTAACATAATTATGTGATTTTGGCCAGCCATGTTAGTGGAAGAAATTTTCAATTTAAAGCCTCAAAAATCTCATGTTGCAAGAGATTTGTGCATGGGGAAAAATATAGTCAAACATTCAACCTTTCACATCTCTTCTCTTCCAAGAGAAATCTATCATATCACTCTCTCTCTCCCCCTCTCACTCTATATCTGGCCAGTAGCAATCCTTCTCTATTCCCTCTTTCTCATTCATTTTTTTTTTACCCTCAACCCCTTGCTTACCTTGAAGAAGAAGGAGCTCAAGAATAGTCAAGAAAAGGCCCATTGAAGCTTGGAAAGGGAGGAAAAAGTGTTCTAAGGTATAAAATCTAAAGAAATTCTTTTATTCCATCAGTTAGAACTGAGTTAGATCAGAAAAAGTGTTCTAAGGTATAAAATCTAAAGAAATTCTTTTATTCCATCAGTTAGAACTGAGTTAGATCAATAATTATAGTTATATTACATCTGGGGTAAGAAATTCTTTTATTCCATCAGTTAGAACTGAGTTAGATCAATAATTATAGTTATATTACATCTGGGGTCTTGCAAGTAACATTTTA